GCGCAAATAGCCAAATTTTTCTGGGGGGACTAAAGCTCCCCCATCTTAAAATATTTGAAAAAAATGATATATGCTTAGTACTAAGTACTGACTTTTGAATTGTGGGGCTAAGTTCCCCAAGCCTCCCCTATTTGTGCCAATGGTGCTGGTTCACTAGTTAATATTAAAATCTAATGATAGAACAAAAAAATGATAATAGCTTATTTTTTAGTATTTCCAATGACGAATCAAACTATGTACAAGAATACAAAATATTGGCATTGACATAACCAAAGTTTTATTCATGAATTTTAATATTGCCTACTATCTTAGGTATACCTATGATGTTGTTGTCGGATAAAATAAACGCTTGGTCTGTGAGTACCCCTAGTACCTACACAATATTATAAAAGTGATTGACAGTGAAAATTAAGTGTCAAGTTATATGATTAATATTTTATACAAACATAGTTATCTACAAAAAGTTATTTATTTATCAGTGACTCTCATTTAAATTTTTTTTTTTATAATTTGTTACCTACTATTTAAAAAAAAAAACAAAATATTCTATGAAATATTAATATAAATTGAAAACATTGGAATAGTTGGATATAAAATACAGATAGGAAGTCAAATTTTTAAATTTCAATTATGCTCACCCACCCTCTTAGTGAATGGTAAAACTCACCCATAGTTCCACCCTACTCCAATTGTGTTACTATATATGACAATGAAAAATATTCGTTTTAATATACTTTAAGTGATAAGTACTATAGTCTATAATATTTTGCTCGGAAAATAAGAGTATAATAATATTATTTGTATAGTTTACCCATAAATTATAATATTAACCAGCTTAAAAAAGTTTGTCAACTAAAAAATTACACTGCAGATTATCATCGATTTTCGATGAAAGATCAAAGAATCACCCTGTATGACTGTAGACTGTGTGTAAGAGTAAGACGTAATTATTTAGATTATTGTTGTTGTGTATTATGTATAGCATAGGTAGTATTGAAATAAAATAATCATTTCGCGTTGCACCTGACCCGTATACGTACGTCTGGTTTTCACCTCTGAAGCAGGTGAATCGTCATAGTATACGTATATAAATATATAATAGTGTATACATGATATTTTTTTATTGTTTGTTTCCTACAGTCGATGAATGTCAAACTTGCGTTTCGGTGCTGTTCCGTGATGATTTTTCGATTTTTCGATCGCACCGTTTGTGGTGTTCTTACGTATTTATGTGATCTTCTTTGTCACCACTCACCAGTCTCCAATAGTAATCTCGTAATAGTTTGAAAACAGCAAATTATTCATCAGTGGGTTATAATTACCAATATTATTGCTTACACGCGCACATAGAATGTGTTTCGCCGTTTTAAACTGTCATTGTTCTTGCTTTCATAATTCTACAAAACATCATTTTTATCACTTAAACATACAATAATTTATATAGGTACCTACATGGCTACATAGTCGTCGATCGTTAAACATCAGCCTCACAAAAGACGATATTTTGTCTTCACGTTTTTCGCTCCAAACTCGGTCAAATGACGGATTCGTGTGATAGGTATTTAGTGCAGTACTACACTACTACCTATATATAGTTACTGTACACCGAGTTATTTCTATACGACATTCATATAGTTAAACAACGACATTTTCACCTATACAATTGCCTCGAGTTAATGATTAATTATTTTATAAAATATAATGATTCAGCTTCAGTACATAATATTATAGTCATATCACTTTTTGTGTTCGTGCTATAAAGTTTTCTCACCCAAAACATTTCCAACTTAACTATTATTATATAGTATTAATATATGCATACAAAAAAATAGACAAACAAGTTGAGTCGATATATTATTATTTACTTCCAAAATATTCTCACAAACTGCTTATAAATTTAATATTAGATCCAGTATGTTCAAACTTGAATTAGAGATCTAAGTTTGGTCGCGGTTAGGTAACCAATACGCGGTCTACCGAAAATAACATGCATTATAATTGTAACAAAAATATTATGCTCTTCCGCAATCACGATAAGTATCTGTATGTGCGTTTGTGGTCTACAATAAAAAAAATATATATTATTCTCTCATAAATTATATTTAACATATGACGTTAATACGTTATTATTATTATACAATTTTTTGGTTATGAATTGATATACTAGGTCGAGTACTAGGTATAATATTATTCATTTGTTGTTTATACCTGCACATATATTGTTCTATCTAAGTTAAAAATGGATAATATATCAACAATAATGATCAATGTACATTATATATTATATTTTTTATATAGATAGGTACTTTATAGTTTGTACCTATAAAGTACATATTATTTTGAATTTGAATTTTGACCATGACACTATGATATAGGTACTAGAGGGAGGGGCTACCTGTTGCTCGATTCACTCACCATAACCACCTGGTTTTTTGTCATCTCGGCACAAATAATGAGTTATTAAAATACTCGTATTTGAGTAATTTGGACTTGTAAGTTGCAAACATATATTGTATAGAATAACGCATAATCTATACGACTATACTCATTTGTGTATAAATATAAATATTTGAGTATAATAGGGGTAGTAGTGGCACACAAAATGACGGAAGATGGCATATTATCATCGGTGAATGGTCAAACAATTATCAAACAGAGATATAAAATATTGGCCTGATGCCGTGTCATGTATAAAACTAGTATGCAGTTAATACATACCTGATACCTACCTATATAATATCTTATAATTGCTCCGTTTATTTATATAATGTGCATTTTTAAAGTGCTCTATTAGATTATAGGTTTAAAATAAACGATTATTTTGCCTTATTTAAATTAGCAAATGTATGATGTATGTGTTATATTTAATATATGCAACAAAAACGGTTTTGAATGGATAAACAGAAGGTTATGAATTTAAATTATAATATGCAGTCGCTACTAGGCAGTAGCCAGTAGATACCTACCAGTGGAGTTAAGTAAAATTGAATGTTCCTAATCCGTGGAGCAACTAGTATTTACTTTTAGTTGGGGTGGCTATGGAATTTATGTAAGGTATACACTTTTTAAGGGAACTGAATCGCCCGCTTAGTGGCTATATTTTAAAATATTCCAAAAATTATAGCACCGGAATATTGTCAAAAATTACTTGAAATAAAATTACTTATAATATAATTTTTTTCCTGTGATAACGAATACTATACTATATACCTATACATTATACTTACAGGTAGTCAGGTAGTATATTTTAGTAATATAGTTACTAAAATTTTAAATGTTCCATACAAAAATGGTTCCATACAAAAATGGTTCAATACTAAAATGGAGGCATCAAAGTATACATAGGTAATTTGTTTTTTTTTTAATTCGGTATTAACTGTAAGCCAATAAGCCAAGACTCGTATCCGCGGGTCATGATGAGTTTAAGGAGAATCATACCATGTACATGTCATATTCAATATATTCTATGTACAGGCTACAGCCGTGATGACAAATAACATTGATGACACACGGTTGTAATAGTTTTGTCCAATCGTCATATTATACCATAACATTGATTGTACAATCATACCTATAAATAGAACGTTAGTAATTTGAATTAATATTTCTGGGATTAGGAGGCATGTAACCCAAACTTTCTAGTTGCGCCACTGCACCTAATTTAGCTTATGAAATATGTAGTTTGTGCAATTTTACAATTTTACAAGCCAATAGGAATTAGGTTTACTTCAAAAATATTTTTTTTTGTTTTATGGACTTCAAAGAGACGCTTAACTTAACATGGAAAATAATTATTTTATTTCTAGACGCAATTGACGCTCAAAATTTAGTTTTATCCATTAAAATTCAATAATAGTACTAGAATTTCAAAATATTATCGGGCATATTATTAATTATAAAATATGAAATTACTGATATTAATAAATAATATATTAGTAGAAGTTATACCTGCAATAGCCACAATAATAATAATACAGACATTGGTGAGGCACGATCGTTCACTCTATCTGCGGAAACACTGAGTGTACATATCGACCGACGTTGCTAGCTTCTGGATGGGTGACCATCCGGGTTTTTAGCAACACATCCTTGCCACTGACACACAAACACGTGTTACAATCCTATACAAACATAAAAAAACCAACTAAACCTATAATACAACTCCCTACCGTACCACACTACCACCCCACACCCCACACCCAATGGCCTATTGGCTATTGGCCTATGTTGCCGCGGATTCCCCTAATAAAAAAAAAATCATAATCATTATACTTCAATTTAATTAGATTATTAACTACCTTTATAATTTATGGCATTCTATATAACTTAATAAATGGTTGTTTCTACTATTGCAGTCGTATTTATAAGTAATAATGATAAAAATGATGAGTAATAAATTACAAATTAATTAGATAACACCTCTAAGGTAAGAGTTATGAAATACATCATGTATGCTATCGTACCAAAAAAAAAAAATGAAATCGATAGTCCTAGTTGTAAGTTGTTGTGACGGTATTTTTAACATTTACCATATCAACCAGACACAACTTATACTAGCATTAGTAATTACTATATTATGATATCTATTTTTTAAATTAGAAGGTCGTATTAAGTGTGCATTAAAAATAATAAATTATATAACTTGAAAAAATAATAGTATCTATTGCTTTTTATGTGAGAATTTTTTCGGTCTACTAGTGGGATCGTAGGGTTATTGATGTTTTATGTTTTTTTTTTTTAACCAATGAACAAATATTTCCAAATTTTACTGCTGTGTGTCAGTAATCAGTAAATATACTGTTTATTAATTTTCAAGTAATACGCGACCTCGGCTGCTTGATCATTGACATACATTTTTTAATTTTAATAGTTGAAATGGAGCTGAAACGGTTTTAATGATGTTTGAATTTCAAATCTATAAACAACCGATTTGTATCCTAACTAAGTACTTACTAGTTTTTGTTTACTCCAAATAATAATATTTTGTTTCTAATTTCTAGGTACCTAATTGTTGTACAAACTGGGTCATAATAATGAGTTGCGTTCCTTGTGTAGACCCTTGTAGTTCCGTGTCCAAAGACGACTTGGACAGGTGGACAAACAGTCTAAAACACGTTTTGGCCAATCAGACGGCCATCAAAATGTTCGAAGCTTATTTGCATGCATGCAAATTGGACTCGGCGGACATTTTAGAGCTGTGGAAGATGTGCGACGGACTGTTGCGCTACGTACATCACAAAAAGATCGAAAAGTAAGCATATCACGAATCTATTCGATTTGTCGGCCGCCTACTCGCCTATATTATTGATATTTGATATCCTACAAAATCTATAAAAATGCATATTATGTTGAACTAAACTCTTTAACAACGCTCATAAAACTATTTAAGTTAATAAGATTAAAAACTACAATTTATAAAGTACAAACATGTGTGATTTTGATTTAAATTTGAATTTCAAAATTGGTTTTAATCTATAGAAAACAATTTACAATTTTTTTTTGAAGTATTTTTACTAATAGGATTTAAAATTGAATTATTCGATTGGTGAAAAATGTCAAAATATAATGACAGATAATTAAATCCTAATTTTTCTTTTAAATGTTAAAAAAAGAGTAAAAGGGACCAAAACTTAAGTTAACCTCAAGAGTTTTATAAAAAAATATATGTATAATATGATAATACTTTTTGAAATTGTAATTATTTATAACTAATGGTAGTTAATTCAGATTAATTATTGATTACACAAACTTGAGTATACAAAGTTCGGGGATATTACCTAAACCAAATTCCTTAAAACCAATCTGTATAGTTCAGCAATTTCTAATCGCTAAAGCTACGTTTTGTCTGCAGTGTCTAGTGTCAATACCCGGTCCTGGACATAGTCAACACTCAGGCTGATGCCGTGCTATTCCTCTGGCTAATGCTGCAGGGAAATTGTACGCCATTCGCACGTCATCAGCAAAAGGGGACTTTGAATAAGCAATTTCAATACATTTAAAAAAGAGAAATTTAATAAATATATTTATTTTAAACAATTTCTTAAGAAAATACTGCGAGTGTGTCATATGCTCATTATTCATTAGTATTGCTATTTTATTGCAACATAAAATTCAAAACCCGAATTTGTTATCAAAAGAGTCAGTTATAGACACAAATACACAATACATTCAAACTTAAAATTTAATTTTTACCTTACCTGTTAATACCAGATTGTAATTTACGCTAGGCCCCATAAAAATTCGATCGTTAATAGAATAAAATGTGTGACATATTGATATTTAAGGACCTATTTATACAACTGTCCTATATTATTTTACATGCAATTATGATATATTAATACAATTAATTAAATAAGCTATACTAAATTGATTGTAACAATTTATTATTATTATTATTATTGACTTTAATTTGAAAATTTTTTCACGGCGAGTATATAAATAAATATCATATACACAGAGAACAACGGTCGATTAACTCCGAGGCAGGATAATAATTTTTTACGGCACGTTGACAGGGCAATAACAAACAAGTAATCCACAGTCCACACTACCAATTTTAAATTTAGAGTCCTCATAATATATGTCATTTGTGGACTAACTGAAAAAATAAGGCTTCGGCATTCTCAGTTTTTTTGTTAAAATTGCGCCACTGCATTTATGGAAATGGTGGATGGGTCATGGATATCGATAAGTTAATTGATACATTTGCCTTGGTATTTTAGCGAAACGTCAAGAATCAAAAACGACTACATCGCCATAGTGGAGTGCGCCGGCGAAGCGGAGGGGCTGACGGAACACCAGTTGCGCCGGTTGGAGGAGACAAAGAGCAGCGGGCCGAAGAAGATTTTAGCCCGCGTTGAGAAACTACGTCAGACGGCTTACGAACTGATGCAGCATGACTACGGATTGTTCAGGAAAAAGTTGTTAAAAGATCACAAAATCGCGAAAAAATAATGTTTTTGTTTAAAATAAGTATTGATGCTTGTATCGAAATATTACGCATGTTTAAGTATATTTTTTATGTTAAATAATTTATTTGAAGTACAAAATACATGTTAATATTATATTATACAGATATTATATTATGATGAATCATTGGATTTCATATTTTAATAGGAACGTGATAAATTTAGGAATTTAGAATAGAAGAACTTTCAAGAAATAGATAATTACACAAAGCCCGTTAAGGTATGTGGACAAGAAAATAGAATATTTACGACAAACAAATTTTATTATAAATCTATATTTTTGTACATTCACATATTTACACTACGATTCCGTGGACTTTGCTTAAAAAGACCGGCTGTTTACTTTTTATCTAGAAGATCTTTGGCATCGTTTATTTTTGCAGCTATATACGGTGAACCGCCCTTATCCGGGTGATTGATCAACATGATTCGTTTGTGTGCGTCCTGTCAAAAAAAATCAAAAATATATATTATTTATCACTACACAGTTCAAACTATAATGACATATTATTATTAAATTTATTATATATTCCCACGCATGTGAAAAGCGAAAAATTGTACAGAGGAAACAAGCTTACGTGCTTCAAAAATAAAACTTGGAATCGAGTACCACGCAATAAAAATCATAAAATATGTATTTTGCGCCAAAAGTCTAATAATATACATTATACCACAAATGTCACAACCATGAGAATATTTACAAAAAATAAGGTATTTCGTGCAGTTTCCCAATAATACATAAAAAACTGTTGTTTATAATTCGTAAAAATGAATAATATATGTATACTATTTTTATACTTCATTTTATCGCTTAAGTTTTTTCCATCATACTTTGTTACCTACGTATTATTTATTGAAATGGATTTTTTTTATTTCATAACAATAGTTACTCTCTAAGAAGTTGAATACTAATTTCATAATAATTTATTTTATTTCTTGTAGTTACTAGGTAGGAATAATTGATTAAAAACAAAATCAATTATTTTAAGGCGCCCGGTGCCAATGTCATTTTAAATAAATACACTCTACTGAAATAATTATCCTGCTCTATAAAGTCAACCACATTGTATAATTGATTTTTCAATATTATATCTCTAACTGAATATAATATGTCTTTAAAAATAAGACAATTTTAAGTTTTTTTACAAATTATTTTAAATTTAATTAAAAAATCATAGTTCATTAAGGACTGTGGAAGTCTTTTTTCCTTCAGATAAAAAAATATTTATCAAAATCCAACCACACCACAAGGCCTGAGATTTTTTCTTGTGAAGTCATTTTTGTTCATATAATACTTACACCCCCTCCCTTAAATAAGTATCAGGCAGTAGGTTAACAGAAAAGTATTATTATTATTAAGGTACAACTAAAATATAAAATGCAATTAAACATTTTGAAAAATACCATAACTATGGAAGCAATTTATACTGAAGTTAACTAGACTAAATTTGACCAGTAGAAGTTGAAGTGATTCTCATAATATGCAATGTGTAAATTTTGAAGAATTAAAATTATTCCCTCGGAATATAATATTGTATATTTAATATAATACCACTTGTAAGTAAATTGTTGTATAATATTCTATGATGAAAATCCAAACAATCAAATACAGACCCCGATTTTAAATTATCAACTATTTAATTTTATATATTTATTAGTGGGTTCATTCACTCAGTTATATTTAAGGCAACCGGCTCGCACAATTATTTGGTAGTACTGACAAAGATTAAGTTGTGCAAATAACATAATATGCTAGTTTGAAAAAAAAAAACTGCAGTACCTAACAACAGTCTACTGTGCTACAAAACTAGTTGAATGGGTAGATCGTAGAAGAGTTCATACTCATATTGGATAAGTAGAAGCTGACTTAATCAATATCTGCATCAATCAAATCTGTACAAATGAGTTTTCACTAGGATATTTAGATGAAATGTTTTATACTTAGCTTATTTTATTTTTTAATAGGAAATTGTTTTTGAAAAATAGTAATTTATTTGTTTGTTATAAATTAAATTTACCTTAACACAATTATCCAGTTCAAAATTATTATCATAAAATATTGTCAAAATCATAAATGTTGTTCATTTGAAAAATTATCTATTGTTCATTGTTTAATACAGAACTTATTTCACGATAATTTACTTTTTTTTTATAAATGTAAGCATTATTTATAACATCTATTAAAAATAGAAATCGAAATCAACATTTGATGAAAAACCTAATATTCAATACACAAAATGGTTAATACAATATTTTTTACAGAAGTAATGTCAGAATTATCAAGGTTAATATACTAGGAACACTTTTATTTATAGCTTATCGTATTTTTAGTACAATAAGTTATACACATACATATCAAAGATACTCTAAAGCTTAAAGTTTGGAGTTTAAGAGGACGCCACACCCGCATGTGTTGTCTGTCTTACAAACGAGTAACATACCAAATTTATGCTCAGCAGTTCACGTTTTATGCCGTTAGATTAAAAATTAGAGTAAATCAACCTAATATGAAACTTGATGGAAGGAACTTTATCTGTGTTTCGTTGGAAGTTTTTTTACGATACTTTAGTTTTTAAGCGAGGTATGCTTGTATAATAAAATATGTAAATTAAAAATGCACATAACTCACTTAAAAACTGAATTAATGTAAAAAAACCTCTAACAAACACAGATAATGTTCTTACCATCAAGTTTCATAATAGGTTGATTCACTCTAATTTTTAATCTAACGGCATAAAACGAGAACTGCTGAGCATAAATTTGGTATGTTATTCGTTTGTAAGACGAAGACAACACATGCGGCCATGCGGGTGTGGCGTCCTCTTAAGCTATGAATTTTAAAGATTCATAAAATTAAAAGATTACACAGATTATTGAATAAACCACTGAAAATATACAAAGAATAGAGAGATATAGAGATATGTTAAAACAAAATGTACAATTTAAACACACTGTTTAATGATCAGTGTAAAACTAAAGGTTTTTTAATGATGTGGGATAGAAAAAATGTATTGCAAAATATTGAAGCCATCAAAAATTATGTTGAAAGTAGCTCCCATCTCCCACAATAACAATATAATATTCAATATACATTAAATTACTTTAAAACCATTGTTTTAACTAAACTTTGTATTTAAAAAAATGTAATTGTCTACATAAAAAAAAATATGTCGATTGTTTTTGATTTTTGAGGCATGACATCAATCAAAAATTAAGAATATCATTGGGATCAATTAACACTTTTTTATGAATGGTCAACAATGTAAACCTATTAACAAAGTTTTAACATTTTTGTTAGATTAGGAAATAATAAATTACATTAGTAAAATAATGTAATCCTTGCTATTTGAAAATGTCTCAAGAGTCAACGTAGACATTGGCATGGGTCATAATATTTTAAATAATTCAATTGGTACATTTTGAAAATCATTAAATTAACAGATAAACATAAAGCATCTATAGCTGTTCTAGAAGACATATGAATTAAAACAAATAGCTATAGTAAGTCAGAATACCTATTTATTCAAAAACATTTAAACATTGTATTATTTAAATGTTTTATAATAGTAAGATTGATGTTTTAAATACTAAGATACTTATTTAGAAGTCCATTTTTTTATATTATGTTGTAGGTAAAATAATCATAAGATATAGGAATTATGGAAGTGGAAAAGAATCATATAACCTAATAAGGATATATAGCCTATTTGAATAGGTACAAAATAAATTTAGGCAGTTAAAATTTTATAGAATTATAATAATATAGTTTAGTGTACCTTTATTTTGTTTTTTGGAGCATTATTTGATACGTCGAGTATGAGAGTGGCTTCACGTTTAGACATGGTAGGTTCAAATCCACCTTTATGAAATTTACTACTCGACTAAAATCAATATGAAAAAAAAAACAAATGTTTGTAACAACATCAATAGCCATAATGTTTTGTTATACTACCAAAATTCCAGATTCGGATGTCATTGTTTTGAGAACTTCGCTCATCTTTTGAGCAACATGTGGGGCAGCTCTTAATACTTGTCGACCAGCAAAACCAGCTACGGCCAGACCCAACCCAACGACGACAACACTGGCCTGCAAATAAAATACACATAAAATTACAAAATTAATTCCAACACGAAACGAAAAAAATTAATTACCATCTGTAAATTTATTGCCCAAAACGTGAAATAGGTATTCAAATAAATAGGTAGCAATATATTATTTCAACGTCCTCAAACGAATTAACAGTTAAACACTAATATGTCGTGGTCTGAGCACTGAGCAGGTCCGAGGGAGACAAATGACGAATGACGATAGTGATTACTGATAAGTGAGGTCTGAGCACGAATATAAAGAATTATAAAGTTCTTTATAATCGTGGGTCTGAGGCAGAATATAATGGCGGTTGTCAGAAAGTTGATAAGAGATTTAGTGATAGGTATTGCCAACGTTGAATGAAAAAATATTTGTACAGACATTATCATTATCAAAAAAGAAAATGTATTATTAATGTATTTATGTATCCATCTTTTAGTACGTCGATTGGTCGATTTTCTTTTGAAAAAACCACCGTTTCTTCATTTTTTAAAAAGTGCATCGATCTAGGTATACAATAGTCCCAAAATCATTTAACCGACCATAACTACAATAACTCACCGAGTAAGAAGAGTTGGTTTAGTAAATATTAAGTACCTACTTTCTTTTTTTAATAGAAAAATGCATTAATTTTTTCAGTTCAAGATGTAGCTTGCTGATGCAGCTCTTGATGTTTCTTACGGTATGCATTGATCTATTTATGAGAATATACATCCAAACAAATCATATTAATTATTTATTTTTTTAAAAAAACGTATAAAAAAATAAATTGGAATTGGAATAATTAGTAAAAACTATGAAAAAATATTTTAATTATTTCAATTAAAATAAGAATTTTATGTTTAATTTATTAAGATTACCATTTAAGTCATTATTCCCTTATAGGCAATATTCAGCTTTGGTCATTTGGAGATTGACCGAATTCTTACCAATTAATTTGTAGTGTCCATCGAAATGAGGAAGTAATTCAGGATAATTTAGAGTTTGTTTATTTTAGAAGCCAATTCGCAGAAAAAGAGTGTAAGTTAATTCTGTTTTATCCTTTATTTATGTTGCATATTCAGCATTTATATAATATAAGAAACGTAGTGTTTAACCATTAATAATAATAAGTATCATATTACGATCGGTGGGGATTGTCCATCGGTCAGTAGCCAGCACATAATTTCATTATACGACATTACGATTTATATGTTTGACAATAAAAGACTATAATTTACGTTTGCATTATTATTCACATTAATGATACACAACAAATTGGCGACGAAGATAATTCAAATCGTTTGATCGTAATCACTATTGCTTAAAAAAAAAAAAAAAAAAAGAAATGACAACTCCGAAGACTGATTCCATAATGAACTTCAGTCAAGTTATTGGGTCACCAGGAACTTTTGAAACAGGTATGGACATAACAATTTTCGAGTCAAAATTAACAAATTTTTTTATGGCAAATTCGATTGAAAACAAGATTCAAAAAAGAGCAATTTTACTATCGTCAGTGAGTGAAGAAATACATAAAGTGCTTTTCAGTTTATGTGTTCCTAGCACGCCTAACGATGTGGAGTATGATACTCTAATAAAAAGTTTGAATAAATATTTCAAACCGGTAAAATCGTACTTTGCGGCTAGGTATACATTTTATCAAGCTAGACAAAGACAAGATGAATCAGTGTGCCAATGGGGTGCACGTGTCAAAAATCTTGCTTCAAAATGTGGCTTTTCATCGGAATTAACAACGGTTATTCGAGACATATTTGTTGTCGGCATGGGTTCAGGACCAATACAAGATCGTCTGTTAGAAGAAGATGCTGCAAATGTTGGAGTTACATATTCAAAACTAATGGAAATTGCGACAGCCAAAGAAGCTGCAATCAACGACAAAAGCAGCTGGAACAAAGAAGAACGCGTAGATTTGAAGTACCAGAAAAAAAGCAATGGACATAGTCAAGCCAAGCAGGGGTTTCATTCAAAAATCAAATGCGGGGTTTGTGGCCGTTCCAATCACCTTCAAAAAGACTGCAGATACAAGGACTACGAATGCAACAATTGCGGTGAAAAGGGTCATTTGTCAACTGTATGTAAAAAGGGTAAGAAAGAAGTGAATAATAACGCAAACGTAAATTATAGTCTTTTATTGTCAAACATATAAATCGTAATGTCGTATAATGAAATTATGTGCTGGCTACTGACCGATGGACAATCCCCACCGATCGTAATATGATACTTATTATTATTAATGGTTAAACACTACGTTTCTTATATTATATAAATGCTGAATATGCAACAATTTATATAATTTTTTTTATTTTATGTATACAAAATGAGCAAAAGCATAAAAATAAAAAATCACAATAGTAAGACATAAACATACCTAATGGAATACAATGGAAATGGTGAGTATATATACTATTATAATATAATAGATATTGTGTCCATACAAGTTAATTTGAAGTACAATTTGGTAATTATTATTTTTATATTTGTTCAATTTTATTATTTTTTTCTTTATTATCATTTAATTACAATGTATACTAGATACTATTAAAATGTAATGCAACATCAAGTTAATGGATCTCCAGCTACAGCTTTCATTTCCACCATTATTGAGGATAAAATGTTTTCACTAAAAAGACTACATAATCATCCAGTTAGACCATCAGACAATGAAGTAAAAGAACTGAGAAATGTACTTGGTGACAAAAGTATACAACATTCTACCTGTTCATATTCAGCTCGCACTATATATATCGAAAGTATTGTTAGGCAATTACTAATTGTATTATTATTTAGTGTAAATATTTTAATAATAAATAAATCCTACAATCCCGATTTTATATTTTAATATTGTATTAGTCGCCCCGAAGGTGCTACTTATTATACTTTTGTACAAGCTGCAGAAAGAATGAAGAAAATTCGTAAATCTGTTTTTCCGCCAAAACTTTTATATGGCTTATAAATTTAAAAAAAATGTACAGCTGGTATTAATGTGTGTGTGTTACATTTTTCTTGGAATTTAGAGTAAAATTTACATTTCACTTTGGATCTGTGTTTCAATTTCTTCCCCAATTTAAATTATTAAAGATTAAAAACAAAACAAAACATTAAAAGCAATATAAGCTAGTTTCAAAGTAATCTTAAGCATATAAAAAAAACCATAAAAGTAACAAAAAACAAAAAAAAAAATGCTGATTGAATAGGTAATACTTTTAACTCATGCTATTTTTGAAATTAGGGACCCAACTAACTCCAGGTTATGGAACATAAGTAATGTTTTTTCACTCTGACACTGGACATGAAACATACTAATCTATCATTGGGATGTGTAAAGGTAAACAGGAACTTTTTCGATATAATGACCTTTTTTCCATTTTTTCCCTTTATAGATTAATATAATAAGCAAAAAAAATAAAAGTAAATAATTATAATAAAAGTATTCAAAGTTTTATTTACAATAGTAAGATCATGATATAATGAATATTTATGAGGCACTAACTGGCCAACAAAAATTAAAAAACTATTTTGAAATAATGGACCTAGAGTTAAAATATAGAAAAAAAAATGTGAAGGGAGGCATGGGCGCCAGCAGGCAATTGAGTTCAAGCAATTAAATAAAAAAAAATATACAAAAAATTGATAAAAGTTAAAATTTAAAAATAAAAATGGGAAGGGGGGCATAGGCGCCCGCGGGCAAATGAATTTTAAGAATCAAAGTAAAAAAAATATAACATAAAATGTGAATTAAAAATAAATATTAAAGTCTGCAGTCTACAATATCACTAATCCTAAACTCATAGTTGTATTTACAATAATAAGCTAATGAAATAATGCAAATTTATGAGGCACTAACCAACCATCAAAAATTAAAAAAATGGTTTTTAAATAATTGAAGTAGAGTTAAATTGTAGAAACAAAAATGTGTAGGGAGGCATGGGCGCCCGGAGGCAAATGATTTTTAAGAATCAAAAATAAAAAATTATGAAAAAAAGTGTATTAAAAACAAATCTTAAAGACTGCACTCTATAATATCAGTATCCCTAAACTCAATGCTTTATTTACAATAATTAGATCATGAAAAAATGAATATTTATAAGATACTAAGTGGTTATCAAAATNAATGGATCTCCAGCTACAGCTTTCATTTCCACCATTATTGAGGATAAAATGTTTTCACTAAAAAGACTACATAATCATCCAGTTAGACCATCAGACAATGAAGTAAAAGAACTGAGAAATGTACTTGGTGACAAAAGTATACAACATTCTACCTGTTCATATTCAGCTCGCACTATATATATCGAAAGTATTGTTAGGCAATTACTAATTGTATTATTATTTAGTGTAAATATTTTAATAATAAATAAATCCTACAATCCCGATTTTATATTTTAATATTGTATTAGTCGCCCCGAAGGTGCTACTTATTATACTTTTGTACAAGCTGCAGAAAGAATGAAGAAAATTCGTAAATCTGTTTTTCCGCCAAAACTTTTATATGGCTTATAAATTTAAAAAAAATGTACAGCTGGTATTAATGTGTGTGTGTTACATTTTTCTTGGAATTTAGAGTAAAATTTACATTTCACTTTGGATCTGTGTTTCAATTTCTTCCCCAATTTAAATTATTAAAGATTAAAAACAAAACAAAACATTAAAAGCAATATAAGCTAGTTTCAAAGTAATCTTAAGCATATAAAAAAAACCATAAAAGTAACAAAAAACAAAAAAAAAAATGCTGATTGAATAGGTAATACTTTTAACTCATGCTATTTTTGAAATTAGGGACCCAACTAACTCCAGGTTATGGAACATAAGTAATGTTTTTTCACTCTGACACTGGACATGAAACATACTAATCTATCATTGGGATGTGTAAAGGTAAACAGGAACTTTTTCGATATAATGACCTTTTTTCCATTTTTTCCCTTTATAGATTAATATAATAAGCAAAAAAAATAAAAGTAAATAATTATAATAAAAGTATTCAAAGTTTTATTTACAATAGTAAGATCATGATATAATGAATATTTATGAGGCACTAACTGGCCAACAAAAATTAAAAAACTATTTTGAAATAATGGACCTAGAGTTAAAATATAGAAAAAAAAATGTGAAGGGAGGCATGGGCGCCAGCAGGCAATTGAGTTCAAGCAATTAAATAAAAAAAATTATACAAAAAATTGATAAAAGTTAAAATTTAAAAATAAAAATGGGAAGGGGGGCATAGGCGCCCGCGGGCAAATGAATTTTAAGAATCAAAGTAAAAA